GAATATGTCATTTCGATTTTTTTGAGAGCTAAGAATGCATATCGCCAATTTAATAGCAACATGATATCGTTCTATCTAACCGCACACTAGTTATGCATAATATTTTAAAGAACATTCTTGACTTTAAATTGTCTTTTATACTGGATCTAATTTATTCGATTTATCATATTCTATTTACGACTACATTTTAATCAGATGTAGCTGTGTCTGTCAATCTTTCAAAGTTGTACACTTATGCAAAGTCACGTTGAAAATATTTCCCTATCATATATCTAATAAACTTTCTTTCTTACTGAATTTTCTCATTTTTTCTTCTAATGACTATTCAGAATACCAGTCTACGCTCTCAAAACGACTATTTCACTATAATATATTTCATAGCTATTATAAAAATTTTAATTTTCATTTGCAGTTCTGCATCGTCATCATCATCGGCATTATCTCGAGCTAAACGTACTTTTGACGACAGGTATGGAATGATTTAACATCGATTAGTTTCTCACTCCTACGACTCATTGTCTCTTCTAGTGATTCAGATGAATCCATCGATATTGAACAACCAAATAATGATAAATTAACTGTTTATGCTTTATCTGATGAAGGTTAAAACTATATTAATATGTTCTAATCATCTTTCTCATGCGTGCATTTTAGATTCGGATGATGATGTCGAATCACCGTCTAGTCAAAATTTTTCACTTTCTACTAGTACATCAACAGTAACAACAAGTAAAACAAGTCCATCATCAGCTGTTCGATCAATTATTTCAACTTATACACGAGATCAACCAGTTACTACTCCACCACCACCAAAAAAATCTCGTGTTCGTTTTGAACGTCGTTTTGGAGAAGACATTACGAGTGGTAATCTTCTTCAAGAATTGAAGGAAAAGGCTGAAGCCAAAAAAAAAGTACTCAAAAATACAACAGCACCACGTTCTTCAAAAAAGTAGATCTAATACAACTTCACTCATAACCCCTTTCCTATACATATGTCATTATACTTATATTATTATTCACTAGCTTTATAAAACATAAACTAAGAAAAATGTTGAAGTATATACGAGTAAA